CACCCTTGGAAAGTCCCTGTGTGAGTCACAGTACAATCCATTAGGATTTGGAAGCTGTATTAGTCTGTTTTCATGCTGCTGATAAATATATACCAGAGACTGAGCAATTTACAAAATCAAGAGGTTTAATGGACTTACAGTTCCATGTGGCTGGGGAGGCCTCACAATCATAGTGGAAGGCAAGAAGGACCAAGTCACGTCTTACATGGATGGCAGCAGGCAAATAGAGCTTGTGCAGGGCAACTCCCATTTTTAAAACCATCGGATCTTGTGAGACGTATTCACTATCATGAGTAGCACAAGAAAGACGGGCCCCATGATTCAATTACCTCCCACTGGGTCCCTCCCAAAACACGTGGGAATTGTGGAAGATACAATTCAAGATGAGATTTGGGTGGGGACACAACCAAAGCATATCAGAAGCAAAGCAGTATCATCCTCTGCAGATAACTTTTCTTTAGAGAAGAAGTTTCTAGCTTGCTATGGAGCCAGTACCTTTTCTCTAATCCAGTCCTGCCCCTCAAAGGTAGTAACTATCCAGAATTGTAACGCCAAAGAAAAGGGAAGTTCCATAAATTAGATGGTATATTTAAGACCCCAGACAAGCAAGAAAATAAACTCCAGGAAAATTTTAAAATAAGCATAAATGATTATTGAAAATAATTCACTTTTTCAATAATCATGTTATATATTTCCTTGACCATATTATTCAGTTATTTTAGAATCCATGATTCAAAACTTTTATATCTGAAAGGCCTGTGGGCCTGCTTCTATTGTCCACTTTTTTCTTCTGACTCTGGGTATACCTGGCAATTTTTGATTGAATGCCATTGTGCATAAGAAATTGTAGAAGCTCTAGATGAGCTTTAGTTTCTTGTTTGTTTAGTGACAGTGTCTTGCTCTGTTAGCCAGGCTGGAGTGCAGTGGCACAATCATGGTTCACTGCAGTCTTGAACTCCTGGGCTCAAACAATCCTCCCACCTCAGCCTCGCGAGTAGCTGGGAGTACAGGTGTGAGCCACCACACCTGGCTAGTTTTTTATTTATTGTAGAGACAAGGTCTCACTATGTTGTGAGGCTGGTTTCAAACTCCTCGCCTCAAGTAATTCTCCCACCTTGGCCTCCCAAAGTGCTGGGATTACAGGCATGAGCCACCACACACAGCCAAGCTTTAGTTTCTGAAGGTAATTATAGTAGGAGCAAATTACTTGAATTCAGTTAGTGAGCTCATTCAAGGTGGGGTATCAATCCTAAGATCTGGTCTATGTTTACTCCTTCCTAATTCCTAGGTAAAGTCCTTCAGAGGTTCCAGCTGAAAGCCTGTGGTACTTAACAAGGCCCATCATCACCGGTGGAATCTGAACTTCAAGTTTGATTTCCTTGGCACATAATTTTCTACTAAAAGCTCTGCACCTGGCTGCTGTGAATTTCCAAATCTATCCCAAGCCATTTACCAGTTAGTATATTCCTTGTGGGGAAAAGTAGCTTGGTCTATTGGACGTGTTTCTCTTCACTCCTCTTGTCACCAGGATCTTTCCATTCAAGTCTCATTGTCTTAGCTCAGGGCTCCCTCAGGTATTATCAGCCAGCTGCAGTCTCTTGCTACATGGGTTTCTTCAATATGGCTGCTTACTTCATCAAAGCAGCAAGGAAAATCTCTCCAGTCTGCTAAGACAGTCTTATATAACATAATGTAGTCATGGGAGTGACATCCCATCACCTTTGCCCATATTCTATTGGCTAGCAGCAGTCTCAGTTCTGCCCACCTTCAGGGGAGGGATTATATAGGGCATTAATCATTGGGGGTCATCTAGGGTTTCTGCCTTAACTGCTAACAAAAGGACAGGGACAAGAGGGAGTACAGGCATTCAGGAGCGCTCACAAATATCACAGTGAAAAGAGCTTTCTTCAGAAGTTGATTTTGTCTCATTACTTGAACACTTAAGCATTCCTTACATCTCTCACTTATAAAATTTGTTAACTAGTAACTTATGTCACAGGATTTGGTGGTTATAGAATAAAACGCGATTGAGATGCTTTTATCAGAAAATCACATACAGGTATTATTAAAATCATAGGATACTGTATTTCCAGCTACTTGGGAGGCTGAGCAGGACTGCTTGGGCCCAGGCATTCAAGACCAGCCTGAACAACATACTGAGAGCCCCTGCCTCCAAATATCACAGGACTCCCAGTCTCAAGATGCAAAGTATTGTTGACCCTGGAACATGGGATTATGGGCACTGACCCTCCAGCAGTAAAATATCTGCATATAGTTTATTACTCCCCCCAAATTTGACTACTAATAGCTTACTGTTGACCAGAAGCCTGATTATGTATATAGTCCATTAACACATTTTGTGTATTATATATGTATTCTATTTACTATTCATTCAGTGAAGTGGATCATAAGTTTTCATCCTCATCATCTTCATGTCGAATAGGATGAGGAGGAGAAAGAAGGGTGTATCTTGCTGTCTCAGTGGTGGCACATGTGGAAGAAAATCCACATAGAAGTGGACATACACAGTTCAAACCCATGTTGTTCAAGGGTCAACTATGTACACACTCAAAACTGTAAACTCAATCATATGGAAAACAAATAGGCAATATGTATATATATGTGAAAATGGGGTCATTTTAAGAAGAGAATGATGTTACATATTAAAGACAAAGCTGAGTGGCAAAATGGATGGGAAAAGAAAATAAGCATGCATAAGATACACTTCAAACTATATACTTTATTGGTGATTTCTGGAGACTACATCCAAAAAAATTTTTACACATCAATAATCCCCACACTCAAATGCCAATCTACTTAATAATTTGGTGTATTTCTTTCCTAGCTTTTTCCCTCCACACTACACAGATGTACTAGCTTTTTGTTCCATGTGTTTATCTATACACACACATATACTCACCTATGAAATAGGTGAATACAAATTTATACTTATATAGATGAAATATGAATTTATACTCATATGTGCATATGACTTTACTCATCACAAAATTTTTATATCAACCACCCAAAATGGCTGATATAATGGTTCATATACTTCCTATTTTTACAATATTAATCATATGGTTATTGTTTTATAATATTTTTGTTAGTGTTTTTTTGTTTTGTTTTGTTTTGATTCGGTTTTGTTTTTGTTTTTGTTTTTGTTTTTTGAGACGGAGTCTCACTCTGTAGCCCAGGCTGGAGTGCAGTGGCCGGATCTCAGCTCACTGCAAGCTCCGCCTCCCGGGTTCACGCCATTCTCCGGCCTCAGCCTCCCAGGTAGCTGGGACTACAGGCGCCCGCCACCTCGCCCGGCTAGTTTTTTGTATTTCTTAGTAGAGACGGGGTTTCACCGTGTTAGCCAGGATGGTCTCGATCTCCTGACCTCGTGATCCACCCGTCTCGGCCTCCCAAAGTGCTGGGATTACAGGCTTGAGCCACCGCGCCCGGCCTTTGTTTTATAATTTTTTTAACTTATGATTTACCACGCACATTTTCCCAAATTTGCCAGTAGTCTTAATTGGTGCCCATTATTTCACCTAATTGACATTATCAATTTTTAATCAGCTGTCATTGGATATTAAATTGTCTTATTTTTTCACTACTGTAAATAATACTGCTGTTATGGAAGATACTCTGAAAATGTTAAATCTTATATTGCTTCACCATAAAATTATTACTCTTTCTTAAAACATGGAGAATTTTAAGTTCTAAGCACTGTTCCTAAGGAAAGTATGTAAAAGCTTACTTATGTGCCCTTTCTGTAATGGCTTTGCATTTTCGCACTGAAGATATTGATGAATAATATATATGAGGTCTCTTGTTTGAGATCTTTGTTTCAGGGATCCTGATGACTCATCCTCTCTTACCCTATTTAAGGAAGCATTTTTTTTTTTTCTATTTGTTTAGGAAAATAATCTGGGAGTTTGCCCCACATAGGGTAGTTTATGCTTTATACTGTTCTTTAAAAAATGTCATACTCACCAGGCGAGGTGGCTCTCACCTGTAATCACAGCACTTTGGAAGGCTAAGGAGGGTGGATGACCTGAAGTCAGGAGTTCAAGACCAGCCTGCCCAACATGGCAAAACCAGGTCTCTACTAAAAATACAAAAAAAAAAAAAAATTAGCTGGGTGTGTTGGTGGATGCCTGTAATCCCAGCTACTTGGGAGGCTGAGGCAGGAGAATCACTTGAACCCAGGGGGCAGAGGCTGCAGTGAGCCAAGATCGTGCCACTGTCCCTAAATAGTCATACTCTACTCCACAGTGAACATATCTTAAATTTATAATTGTTTGTTTGCCACCTCTATACCTTTTCCACAAAATGTTTGGTAAAGAATATGCTAAGTGTGGTGGCTCGTATCTATAATCTGAGTGCTTTGGGAGGCAAAGGTGGGAGGATCAGTTGAGGCTAGGAGTTCACCAGCCTGGGCAGCATAGCAAGACCCTGTCTCTATTAATAAAAGAATATAGAGCATGATTCCTCTCATTTCTACTATCAGTTTATTTGTGTATTTATTTATTTGACAAGGTCTGGCTATAACGCCGAGGCTGGAGTGTAGTGGCACAATCTCAGTTCACTGCAACCTCTGCCTCCCGGGCTCAAGCCATCCTGCTACTTCAACCTCCTGAGTAGCTGGGACTACAGGCATGCACTACGACACTCAGATAACTTTTGTGTTTTTTGTAGAGACAGAGTTTTGCCATGTTGCCCAGGCTGGTCTCAAACTTGTGAGCTCAAGTGATCTGCCCACCTCAGCCTCCCAAAAGTGCTAGGATTACAGGTGTGAGCTACCTACCACACCTGGCTACCATGGTTTTATAAGCTCACTAAATTCTTAGTTTTTCTCAGCATAAATACTCTGATAAACAGTGCCATTTAAATTATTTCTGAAGGCTTTCCCACATAACTACACTCAGTTTTGCCCCTTTTGAATTATTTGACGTATAGTTCTTCACTCCTGGGTGAAGAATTCTGGGTGAAAAAACTGATCACATTTATTGACACCTCTGGAATTATACTTTTGTACCTTTTATTAAGTTAAATGAACATTAACATATGAAGAATTTCCAATATTCTAGACATTTATAAGATTACTCCCCATGATTATTTGACAAATAATGAGACTAGTAATAGTCAAATGACAAATAACTACTAGTATAATTATCCCACTTTCAAGTATAATCATAGGTTTTTATCTCCTGTGTGACTTCTCTGATGTTTAATGAGAGTTGACTTCCCACTGAATGCTTTCCCACAGTCTCTGCATTCATAAGGTTTCTCTCCCGTATGAGTTCTGTGATGCACGATGAGAGTTGATTTCACACTGAAGGCCTTCCCACATTCACTACATTTGTAAGGTTTTTCTCCTGTATGAATTCTCTGATGTTTAATGAGAGTTGACTTCCTACTGAAGGCTTTTTTACAGTCAGTGCATTCATAGGGTCTCTCTCCTGTATGAATTCTCTGATGTTTAATCAGTGGTGACTTCTCACTAAAGGCTTTCCCACATTCGTTGCATTTATAGGGTTTCTCTCCTGTATGCATTCTCTGATGTACAATAAGGGTTGACTTCTCCCCAAAGGCTTTCCCACATCTTCTGCATTCATAAGGTTTCTCTCCTGTATGAGTTCTATGATGGACAGAGAGGTGTGACTTTCCACTGAAAGTCTTCCCACATATATTACATTCATAGGGTTTCTCTCCTGTATGAATTCTCTGATGAACAGAGAGGTGTGACTTTCCTCTGAAGCTTTTCCCACATTTACTGCACTCATAAATGTTCTCTTTTGTATGAGTTCTCCAATGTTTAGTGGGACTGGGCTTCTTATCAGAGGCTTTCCCATGTTCACTGTGCTCAGGTTTCTTACTTGTATGAATCCTTTGATATATAAGGTTGGACTTAGTACATCTAATACCTTTATAAAATGCTTGTCTAATGTGTGTTTTTTCATGTCTAATAAGATGATATGAACTCTTAAAGGCTTTTGGACATTTGCCACATACAAATGGTTTCTCTCCTGTATGAGTTCGTTGATGTTTAATCAGAGTTGACTTTTGGATAAACGTTTTTCCACATTCACTGCATTCATAGGGCTTCTCCCCTGAGTGAATTCTCTGGTGTGCTACGAGGGTTGACTTCTGGCTGAAGGCTTTTGCACATTCACAGCATTCATAAGGTTTCTCTCCGGTGTGAGTTCTTTGATGTACAACTAAGTTTGCTTTCTGGATAAACACTTTTCCACATTCAGTACATTTGTAGAGTTTCTCCCCAGTTTGACTTCTCTGATTTTTATTAAGGGCTCGCTTTTGGTGGAGGGCTTTCCCTCGTTGATTAGGGTCAAAAAATTTATCTGCAGGTTGAGCTTTATGAAGATTAGAATGGAGGCATACTTTCCAATATGCCTTACATCCATCATCTTTCTTTCTTATATAGCTTCTATTTTGACTAAGAAAGTTTAAATTATGTTTTGAACACCTTTCCCATGAGTAATACTTAGGGAGTCTTTGTTTCACAGAAACAAAGTCTGTGTTGAGATAAACGATTTTTCTACATATTTTACATTCTTGACCACTTTCATCCTTCAGTGTTTCCTTGACTGTGAATGCAGCTTGCCACAGAAGTTTGTCTTGGCTTTCCTTGTAGTGATCTGTCTGCTCGTCAATTTGCCAGACTTCTAGAAGAAAATGCAATGAATCATCAAACTTGTCTTTCCACTATAACTTATTAAATAACTTTAATCCCTAAATGCCCAAGCAGTGAACTCCTATCAACATGACTTGAGCTGATGTGGATAGAGGACTCTCCCCATGTCCCAGGCTCAAAATCAAGAAAAGAAATGTATTAGGTATCAAAATGAAGTGGGAATTTAAAGTGAGAGAGTAAACAGAGCAGCTTGAGGATTTGAAGGGGACCACGGGGCACAAATGTTCAGGCATTCAGGAAAGTCAGAGTGTAATTTTGGCTTAAAGCTTATATATATACACATACAATTGTATGTATATATGTGTGTGTGTGTATATATATATGAAAGGTTGCCATTGCTATGAACCTACATATAACAAGACCAACTTTTGAAATGTTTCAGTTTATAGGCTTTGTACTATGCTTGTAATCATTTGGATTGAGTTACAGAATTAGGCTTTTGATGTCTTATATATAACATTCTTCTTGCCAATTTCTCTGGCTAGTGGGGAATGTTTCTAGTTCCTGTTTAACAAGGATGGGAGCCCTTGTAGTTATATACACACACACTCATGTCTTTATAGCTGAGGACATCACAGAACTTCTAGGGAAAACCAACTCTCACTGAGGAGTTCAAAGTAGAAAATTTAAAACCTTAGAAGGAACTGATCCATCATTAGAGAGAATTGACCGATATATTTAAATATACTCCCATTCCTAGAACTGTAGATAATAGAACAATCTGCGCTTTAAAATAAGTGTATTTCAAATGTACAAAGATAAGGCAAGAACCAGACTATGAAGGAAATAGCAGGAAATTTTGAAAAAAGACAGATGAGTATTTTTAAGGTAGGCATTATTTAAAAAAAACTCTAAATAGGTTGAACAGTAGACTAGCCACAGATAAGACAGATTTAATAAATTAGATGACAGATCTTGGGAAATCACTTAGTCTCTAATAGGCTTCCCCTGGCATAAACATCACACATGTTGATTCATCTTTGATACTGGAGTTAGAGTGTGCTCTGTATTCATGACAGGCAGACAGCATAAGGAAGCCTGCACATGGATGCCTCCAGATTCTGCCTGTACCTTTTTCCTTTATAATCCAGTTGTTTATCATTATCACATCACTGTAATAAATCTTACCCATGATTACAACTATATGGTGAGTCCCATGAGTTTCTCTAGAGAATATCTGAGTGTGGGAGCAGTCTTGGGGACCCCTGACCTAGGCAGTGGCGGTATTTGAAGAGACAATGACTGATTCTTTTCTAAAATGGAAGAAAGGCACGTATCCTACCACTGAATGTCCAAAGTCCTTGAGTGTGGTAAATAAACAAGTCTGCACTTAGACAAAGTTCAGTGCAGCCACAAGGCTTTCAAGTCAGAAAGAAAATATTGTAAGCTACCATGAATAAATAAAAATATCCCCTATAAAGAAATAATTATATCAGCATCAGACTTCTTCAAAAAAGAAGCTAGAAGATTGAAGAATAATATCTTCACTGTCCTGAGACAAACTTTCATCTTAGAACTCTATACCCAGATAAATTACCATAAAGAAAGATGACAAGGACATTTTTGGACAAGAAAAGACAAAGAATTTGCCATACACAAAACCTGGCTAAGAATAATGCCTGATACTTCAGTTATTCAGAAGGATAATGACTAAAGAGGAAAAAGGGGGTAAAGAAAATCCTGCAAAGGCAAGAAAAGAGAAGTAATGAAAAGCAGGCTATGTAGAAAATATACTAAAAGAAGAAATACAAACATAGTAATTTCACAATAAATATATATTAACTCTATTAGTTAAATGCCAGTCATATCAAATTGCATTTTTAAAAAATCAGCTCCATGTTTTCAAAAGACAATTAGGGCAAAATGAGAGAGAAATGTTGAAAATACAATTATGGGAAAAGCTACACCTGGCACTTAGTAACCAAAATAAAATTGGCAAGACAATGCTTATATGACCTTGATGCCAAAAGCAAAGAAGGATAAAATACGAGAATATTATAAAGCAATTTTCACTTACATAGATGTGAAACTCTTAAATATACATGGCAAATTGATTCCACTTATGATGGATAAGAGGTAATACATTTAGTATTATTGAAAATATATAGCCTGGGCAACATAGCAAAACCCATCTCCACACACAAAAAAAAAAAATTAGCTGGGCGTGGTGGCGCACACCTATAGTCCCAGCTACTTAGGGGACTGAGGCAAGAGGATTGCTTGAGCCCAGGAGGTCAAGGTCGCAGTGAGCCATGTACCCAACACTGCACTCTAGCCTGGGTGACAAAGTAAGACCCTGTCTCAAAAAAAAAAAAAAAAAAAAAAAAAAACACATGTGCACACATACACATACATACACACACACACACACACACACACGCCTTACTACCTATTCCACTTGTAGTCATACCATAGAGAAATTACGGCAAATTTTAACATGTACAAGAATGACAACGAAATATTAGAAACCACCAAACATTCACCAATAAAGGTATGGAAAATGAACTATGACACTCATGTTGGAATGCTAGCAGAGCAGTTAAAATAAATGATCTAAATCTAAAGTATCAGCATAAAGCTCAAAAGGTAATACTGAACACAGAAAGCAAGTTGCAGAAAGATCCCTATAATTTTTTTTTTTTTTGAAACGGAGTCTTGCTGTGTCGCCCAGGCTGGAGTACAGTAGCGCGATCTTGGCTCACTGCAACCTCTGCCTTCTGGGTTCAAGCAATTCTCCTGCCTCAACCTCCTGAGTATCTGGGATTACAGGCACCCACTACCACGCCTGGCTAATTTTTGTATTTTTAGTAGAGACAGGGTTTCACCATGTTGGCCAGGCTGGTCTCAAACACCTGACCGCAGGTGATCCACCCGACTTGGCAGATCCCAAAGTGCTGGCATTACAGGCATGAGCCACCGCGCCTGGCCAAGATCCCTATAATTTGAGTGTACCAATCTGGTAATGTTACAAAAAGAATTCTATACTGATTACAGGTACAAATATATATAGCAAAAGTATAAAAACATAGATTAGAAGGATACTCACAAAATTCATGATACTGTTTACCTGGGGAGAGATAGAAGGAATAGGCCTCAGGAGGGGAAAAATGGGACTTCAACTTTATTTGTAAACCTCTGTTTCTTTTCTTTTCATTTTTAAAATTTTATTTATTTATTTATTTTGAGATGGAGTCTCCCTCTGTCGCCTAAGCTGGAGTGCAGTGGCAGAATCTTGGCTCACTGCAGCCTCCGCCTCCCGAGTTCAAGCAAGTCTCCTACCTCAGCCTCCTGAGTAGCTGGGATTACAGGCGCGCGCCACCACGCCTGGCTAATTTTTGTATTTTTAGTAGAGACGGGGTTTCACTGTTTTGGTCAGGCTTGTCTCGAACTCCTGACCTCGCGTGCAGGGATTACAGGCGTGAGCCACCGTGCCTGGCCTGTTTCTTTTATTTTTAAAAAAATGACAAAATGTTAACATTTGCTAATTCTGGGAAGGAAGTACAAGGGTGTCTGTTATAATTACGATTTCCTGTACTTTTTTTCAGTTTTAAAAGAAAGGCTTTTAGGGTAGACTTCTGAAATGACAGAGTGAGAGGAAGGACCTCAGTAAATCCTCTCCCCCACAAAAGTAATGATAATACTGGCAAAATCAAAATTATAAAAACCAATCATTTCACGACTTTAGAAATTAACCAAAGGCAAGCAATCAATTAAAAATCATTTATTCGAGAAAAAACAGGCCTGACGCGGTGGCTCACGCCTGTAATCCCAGCACTTTGGGAGGCCGAGGCGGGTGTATCACCTGAGGTCAGGAGTTCAGGACCAGCCTGGCCAACATGGTGAAACCCTGTCTCTACTAAAAATACAAAAATTAGCCAGGCATGATGGCAGGTACCTGTAATCCCAGCTACTCAGGAGGCTGAGGCAGGAAAACCGCTTGAACCTGGGACGCAGAGGTTGCAGTGATCCGAGATTGTGCCATTGCACTCTAACCTGGGCTAGAAGAGCAAAACTCTGTCACACACACACACACACACACACACACAGAGAGAGAGAGAGAGAGAGAGAGAGAGAGAGAAAAAAAAACTAGTAAACCTTACTAGGAACAGCCAGGTCATGGTTCACTTGGCACTACTACTACTCTTCCTACTCCCCCACTGGCTCCCCAGCTCCATGAAAACTGTTAGCCTCACAGCTACCCAAGGGGATGACCTGTTTTGGAGCTCTACCAAAAGCCCTATCCCCAGACTGCTTTTGCTATTTGATCTAACTTAAAAGTTCAGCTCCAAGAAAATAAAGGACACTATGGTAACTCAAACCCACACAAAGAAATAAAGAGCACCAGTAAAGGTAACCTGTAGGAAAGTGTTAACACAGCAGAACTGATCTTTAGAAGGGCCTGCTCACAGGGCTGGCTCCTGGCTAGAGTCTGGGAACTTGGCTTGTGGAATATTCCCTATGTTGATATGATGGCTTTGCCTACCTAGGGCGCTGAACACCTGTTTTTCTTCTGGGAGTCTGGATGCCTGAACACGAGAGGCTGATGATTTTCTTGTATGATGTGCCTGTTTTTAGTGGGTCAAACTGGACTTGCCCACAGACAAAGTGAAAGGGGCTTAACATAAAAGGCCTAGCTTGCCACTTGGATGTGCAATGCAGCTGTCTGGCCCTGTAGCATCTTGGCTTTGCATGGGGGGTGGGGGAAACTATCCCTGTGGGGATTTATTTCCTACCAGGCATCCAGAAATACTGGTGGCAGTGATCCCGTGTGGGGATATGCCAGAGCACTTGAGATAAAGGAGGTGAAATTTTATAAGCTGAAACAGAGAAAAAAATGATATCAAGTATCAATAATCAGAATAGCTTTACACTGAAAATGAGATGGCAATGGAGCAATGCCTTCAAAAGTCTAAGGGAAAGATATTTCCATCCTAGAACTCTACTCCAAGCCAAACTCTCCGTCAGGAGTCA